TGAGGAAACCTGAGAATGGTAGTATGTTGATTCTCTTAATTTTGATGATTCCCAGATGTATAGTTATGTTAAAACTCATTAAGTTATACACGTTAAATACAGTTTATTGTATGTCAATTATACTTCAATAAAGCTATAAAAATATTATAGCACACATACCTTTCCACTCCTCCACCCCCCACACAGAGCAAAGACTTCTTTTTTTTTTTTTTAATATTTTTTATTTATTTATTTGACCGCACAAGCAGGGAGAGAAGCAGGCAGAGGGAGAGGGAGAAGCAGGCCCCCCGCAGAGCAGGGAGCCTGACACGGGGCTCGTTCCCAGAACCCTGGGACCATGACCCGAGCAGAAGGCAGCCGCCCAACTGACTGAGCCACTCAGGTACCCCAGAGCAAAGACTTCTGAAGAAATTCCTATAAACATGTCTTTGGATGTGTTAAGTATTTTTCTATTAAACATTAAGGAATTTTAACTTGAACTTATAGAAAGTAATTGTTGAAAATACGATATGACATTTATTCCCTTGATTTATTATGGCACCCTTAAAACTGTTTTATATCACGAATGGAAAGTATAGGTGCTTTTACAATGACGCCTATTTGTAATGTCAGAAGAGGAATAGAGATTAAAGAAATCTTTTTTTTTTTTTAAGATTTTATTTATTTATTTGACAGAGAGAGCACAAATAGGCAGAGTGACAGGCAGAGGGAGAGGAAGAAACCTGCTCACCACCAAGCAGAGAGCCCAATGCAGGGCTCAATCCCAGGACCCTGGGGTTTATGACCTGAGCTGAAGGCAGACGCTCAACTGGCTGAGCCATCCTGGCGTCCTGAGATTAAAGAAATCTTTATTGCTTAAGTTGGAAGTTTATAAGAAAATCCTAGGAAAACTATCCAATAGGAAAGATCTACACATCTGTACAGCTGACAAATTGGACTGACTGAATCAGGCCAGTAGCCACATCAGTTCTATTCGACTGGTCCTGAGACCTTGTTTACCTTTAAGTAACTGTGACCTTTTATTCTACTGTGCACTTAGGACTTATTTAAGTCTGCAAGAACTTAAGGGACCCATGCCATAGAATGTTCTTGACAGAAGGAAGCAGCAGTGTTGATGACAAGACAGCTTCTTTTTACAAATCTTGGATTTCTGGGAGACAGAAAAAATAGTGGTAACGACTTTGGAATTAGACAAGTCTGGATTTAAATCCTGGCTCTCCCACGGCTAGCTTTGTGATCTCTTGGATCTCTTACTTAACGTCCCTGTTCCTTAGTTTTCTCATTTGTAAGTTGGGGCTAATAATACCTGCATCTCAGGTTATATGGGTTAAATGAGAATAATGTATATTAAGTGCCTAGCATTCAAAGAAAGAGAGCCATTATTATGACTGTTGCTGTTATGATCTTACTTCCTTGCAAGATGTTTAGATTACTAAAACATATACTTCTTGGAATATTTGTATCAGTCATACTAATTCAAAGAATTAGGAAAGAGAAGGAATCAATTTCTAGAGAACCTGAAAGACAGGCTTATATGAGAGCCTGTCTGTGTGGAAAATTGTTATAGAACATTTAAAAAAATTTTAAAAAAAAATTTTATCTGTCAGAGAGAGTGCACAAGCATGGGAAGCAGCAGGCAGAGGGAGAAGCAGGCTCCCCACTGGGCAGGGAGCCCAGTGCGGGACTCGATCCCAGGATCCTGGGATCATGACCTGAGCTGAAAACAGATGCTTAACTGACTGAGCCACCCAGGCTTCCCTGTTACAGAACGTTTTAAAAATTGAACTTTTTATTTAAAAATGTAAAGCCTATAGAAAAGTTCTAAGAATATTAAACTTAACTCCTTTATGCCCCATCTAGTTTCATAGATTGGTAACATTTTGCCATATTTGCTTTACCTTTTTTTTATTTTTCATTTTTTATTTTTTAAATTAAAAAAAATTGTTTATTTATTTGAGAGAGAGTGCGCCAGTCGGGGTAGGGGGCAGAGGGAGAGAATCTTCAAGCAAACCCCCTGCTGAGTGTGGAGCCCGAGATGGGGCTCCATCCCAAGACCCGTGAAATCATGGCCTGAGTGGAAACCAAGAGTTGGATGTTTATCTGAGAGCCACCCAGGCACCCCTACTTTACCTTTTTTTTTAATGTAACATAATACACAATTTTCTTCCTTCTTCTCCCACTCCTTCCCCATCCCTTCCTCCTCCTTTCTTCTTCTGTTTCTTCTGCTGCTTCTACTGCTTCTGCTGCTGCTTCTGCTTCTCCTTCTGCTGCTGCTGCTTCTCCTTCTCCTCCTCCTTTTTCTTCTGCTTCTGCTTCTCCTGCTGCTGCTGCTTCTGCTCCTTCTGCTGCTGCTTCTCCTTCTCCTTCTTCTCCTGCTTCTCCTACTTCTGCTGCTTCTTCTGCTTCTCCTCCTCCTCCTCCTTCTTTTTCCTCTGCTTCTCCTTCTTCTGCTTCTGCTGCTGCTTCTGTTTCTGCTGAGGGTAAGCTGCAGAAATCATGACCCTTTATCCCCAGGTACTTCAGCTTTTATCTCCTAAAAACAAGGATAGTCTTTTACATAACAGTGTAATTATCAAATGTATTTTAACATTGATGTGTATTATGATTTGATACACAGTCCATATTCAAATTTTACTGATTGTTTTAATAACTCTCCTTTATAACAATTTCTCCCCCAATCTAGAAATGAAATTTAGTTGTCTTTTCTTTGGAACAATCCCTCAGCCTTTCGTTGTCTATCATGATTGACATTTTTTGAAGAGTAACAGGCCTGTTGTTTTATAGAATGTCCTTTAATTGAGGTTTGTTTGCTTGTTCCTCATAAACCCATACACAGTATACTTTTTTGGCAGGTAATGTGTCCTCAGTGCCTCACATCAGGAGGCATTATTGGTGATGTTAATTAACTTTGATCACTTAGCTAAGAGATTTTTTTCACTTTAAAGGTAACTCTTTTCCCTTTGTAATTAATAAGTAATCTATGAGGATTACTTCAAAATACTTGGTGATTCTTTGAAATTGTAAATATCCTGTTTTTTAACAAACTTTCCCCCAGTGGTTTTAGAATCCTAAGGAGCATTTTTGTATCATTAACATGTGGTTTCCTCAGCTGAATTGAGGTCCTCTTGAGAAAATAGTTTTTACTTCAAGAAATGTTATAGTACCTTATACACAGTAAGTTCTCAGTACTACTGACTACCTGACCTTCAACTCCCTGACACAAGATTGCTGATTGCATTTCTCATAATGGATTTTGTCTAATTACCCCGAGAAGTTAACAGATACTTAAGCAAAGTCCTATTGTATGCAAATAGAAATGGTCACTAATTGGACTGAGTAGGTGGGGTTTTTTTAGGTTATTATTATTTTTAAGATTTTATTTATTTGAGGGAGAAAGCATGTGAGAGAGAGAGAGCATGAGCATGAGCAGGGAGGCAGAGGGAGCAGGCTGCCCACTGAGCAGGGACCTGGACGTGGGGCTTGATCCCAGGACCCTGGGATCATGACCTGAGCCAAAGGCAGACACTTAACTGACTGTGCCTTGCCACCTCTGATTAGGTGTTTTTAGTAGGCCTCTCAGACCGGTGAGGTGGGAGTAGTAATACAACCTCTGGATATTTACAAAGAAAAATTAATAACAATATTGAAGAAAAGTTATCATCATCACTGGAAAACTTGTTAAATGTATTCCTTATTCCATTTTAATTTGCATTTGTGATGAAAGGACATTTCTGGGTGGTATTCATCTTTCACTTTAGACTCTGACATTTTTCATGTCAGCCTAATACTTAGCCAGGACTCATGGGTGTCACCTTCAGTCTCTTAAGAATTAGGTCAGGTTTCTTGTAGATCTTGTCACATTGCCACTTTATCCAGAGGAAAGAAAGGCACAATTGCAGTTGTTTAGATGAACATTTTATTCAGGAGAGGTTATTAGAGGCAGTGAGGCGGAGTATAATGTCCTAGTTCTGTCTGGCATTTGTTTTGTTTTTCACTTCTGCTCTAAGGATTTTTCTTCTACCATTCATGGTATCATGTCTTGGCAGAGATGGCAATTGATCATTAAAGTTCTTCTATCCCCAATTTCTGGCTGATGCCTCAAATCACATCATTATTAAATTAACTTACTTGTGCAAATTATGATACCCAAGAAAAATGCAGATATCCTTACAGGGTGTTGGAGAGGTAGCACAAGCCAACATCTAAATGAAACACCAAATATTCAGAACTTTTCTGTGGTAGCTTGTGCTAGAAGCTCTCTGCTAAGTGAGACAGTAATAAAGTTTTCACTGGGGAAGGAGAAGCTTGGGTGGGGTTTTAATAGTTGGGGGCTCACAACAGGCTTAAGGTTCTGACTCTGAAAGAGGATGGGGAAATGGGTATTGGAAAAGGAAGAGGAAGGACATTTAAAAGATATAGTACACTTCACAATTTTAATAGATGTAACCCTGTAGAGTGATCTCTGAAACCTATAGAGCATTTTAGAGTTAAAAAATCCAGCTTTGTTAAACCAGGAATTGGTGATGGCTGTCTCTTTTTTAAAAAGCTCTTTTTTTTTTTCCATCTGCACCAAAAACATACTTTTCACATTTCCTTGTACTTGTTATATATCTCCAGATGTCCCAGGGATGTTATAAGGGGTGGTGGTAGAAGTCTATATAACTAACTTTCTCAGCCAAGTTTTGTGAATCTTTTACATTCAATCAGGATATGAAATTAGCAGTTGGTATACAGGCTGTATTGGTCAGGGTAATAATTTCCAGGGTCAGGTGATTAATTGTGGCCATTGTTCCAGAGAGGCATTTCATTGTTTCTACTAGAGCATGTGTTTATTGAAGCTTTGTTGTTTTTGCCAGATGCAATTGGCTCATCTTGTGAAATGTGTGCTATGGAATTGATCTTTTGCTGAGTGTATCCATGTTAACATCTCTGAAATACTGGTGACAGACTTTTTCTCCACTTCAATGAGAAAAAAATTCTTTTTCACTTTCTATGACCAGTTAAAAGAAGATGGATGCACAGAGTTCAGCCAAAATGAACACAAGAAAGAGGCGAAAAGAGGTACCTGGACCCAATGGGGCAACAGAAGAAGATGGAATTTCTTCAAAAATGCCACGCTGTGCAATTGTAAGGAAGAGATTTCTTTGTTGAACACTTAACCTGGTGGTGGGGGGGGTAGAAACTGATATAAAATTGATGCTATCAGTATGACAAGTCTTCTTAAATAATGGAAAGAATGAATAGTAAATGTGAATAGTATTTTCACAGTTGTTGGAAATGTTATGCTTTCTTATCAAATTGTAGCTCACAGCTCATTTGCAAGAGTTTTACATTGGAACTGGAAAAAGAACGTTAGAAAAAAAAAGAATGTTGGGAAAATTTGGAAGTTGTGTGTATATTAGGCTAAAGATCAAATTAAAACTAATGGAATAGAGAAATTGGAGCAGTCATCTGATCTTAGTATCGTCTCATGGTGTTTAGTTTTCTGTGTCTTGTTTTTTTCCTCCATTCCTTCACTCTATTACTGGTTATATCTTAGATGAGAGCCTTTTTCTATTACTGCCTACTTTGTGTTCCTTTATCCCTGGGATGTTATCTTGTATTTGCTAACTACTGCCAAGCCTTTGATGAAAGACCCCATTCCAAACTGCTCATCCTGTCTCGTTTTGGTACCCTTCTTAAAGCTTCTCCTAAAGAACATGTCAAAGACCACATAAACAATTGAAGTTATTATTATTTTTTTTAAGATGTTTTATTTAATTATTTGACAGCGAGAGAGAGAGACAGCGAGAGCAGGAACACAAGCAGGGGGAGTGGGAGAGGGAGAAGCAGGCCCCCTGCGGAGCAGGGAGCCCGATGCGGGGCTTGATCCCAGGACCCTGGGATCATGACCTGAGCTGAAGGCAGACGCTTAACAACTGAGCCACCCAGGCACCCCTGAAGTTATTATATATAATATTATTATGAAATCCATGTTTTAAAATTCCAATGAAAGGATTGTATGTTTCTGTGTTTTCTTTACCTATATTGACCATTAGCTGTTCATCAAACTGCAGTTTCCACTGTTTAGTTCTGGAGCTTCATGTAGTGCAAAGGGAAAAATATTTTTACTCTGACACAATTAACATTTGTTCCAAATCAGTACTCTATCTTGAGCAATAAAAACAACTGGATTCCCCCAACAAGAGACATATGCTTTAGTCCTGATGTTGATGATGATATTGATGGTAGGGGCAAGTGTATTAGTTTCCTATTGCTGCTTAACACATTGCCACAAATGTAGTGGCCTAAAACTGTACAGATATATTATCTTATAGTTCTGGAGGTCAGAAGTCTGAAATGGGTTTCAGAGGGCTAAAATCAAAAAGTCGATAGGGGTGGAGGTTCTAAGGGAGAATCTGTTTTCTTGTCTTTTCCAGCTTTGAGAGGGCTGTCCCCATTGCTTTGCTTATGGTGCCAGCTAGCAATCACATCACTCTGACTGCTGCTTCTGTCATCACATCTCTGCTGATTCTGACTTTTCTGCCTCTCACTTACAAAGACCCTTGTGATTACATTGAACATACCTGAATAATCCAGGATAATCACCCTGGTTCACAATCCTTTAATTTAATCATATCCGCAAAGCCCTTTTTGCCATGTAAGGTAACATAGTCACAGGTTCTAGAGAGTAACATGTAGACGTCTTTAGGGGACCATTATTCACTGTAGCAGGTATACTCAGAAAATGACTCAGCAGTAAACAAAACAGGCCATTGTTAATTTCTGAATGCTTCTTAAGAGAATTCAGATTAAGGAGATACAGTGGTAAGCACCAATTCAGCAATCAATCTTGGAGTAGGGCAAGTTATAACCAAGGAGGTGATACTCGTTGCCAGTCACAATAGCCAGGGATAGAGCAAAGGCCAGTCTTAGTGGAATGGGATCTTAAAAAACTTAAATTTCTTGGTCCTTAGAATTGAGGAATTTCAGTGCTTTAAATTACTTTGCTCATGTATTCATGTCAGAAATCAGTTGAGTGACTTCCTACTTACTCCACATTCCTCTCTAGTACACACTGGCTATTTAGCATGCGCTAATGGTTAAAGATTCACTCGCCCAACAGGCTGTACCAACCCTAATGAGGGGTGTCTGCTAACTAAACTTGTCTGTCATCTCCATTGTACACTTGTATGTTCAATCTCTGACCCCTTTTCAGCTCTGTAGCAAAAGCAAACAAGATTTTTTTTCTTTTTTTTAAATAACAGCTCTATTGAGATCATATAATCCATCCATTTAACTATACAATTCAGTGGTTTGGGGTATATTTAGAGTTGTGCAACCATCACCACAACCAATTTTAGAATATTTTCATCACCCCCCAAAAAAGTCCCAATCCCCATTCACAGTCACTTCCCATTACCTCCTAACTTTCCAGCCTCTGGAAACTACTATAGTAGTTAGGTCTCTATAGATTTGCCTATTCTGGACATTACATATAAATGGCATACATACATACATAGTCTTGTGGCTGGCTTCTTTTCACTGAGCATGTTTTTAAGATTCACTAATGTTGTAGCATGTATTTGTACTTCATTTCTTTTTGTTGACAAATAATATTCCATAACATACCACATTTTACTTATCCACTCATTAGTTGACATTTGAGTTGAACAAACAAGATTTTATCATACACAATGTGCCAGCATGGCCAGTAGGTGATAGGAGTATAAAGATAAATAAGATCTTCCCTTTGAGAGATGTGAGCCTAATATGAGGCTCTATAGCTTAGAGCCCAGAAGAGGTTTTTTGTTTTTTTTTTCCTTGCAAGGGGGAGAGAAATTGGAAGTATCACCAAGTATTAGTAGCTGGGGTGTTGGGTCAGAATGAATTGGAAAGAAGAGAGAAAATAAGGAGGAATAATAAAGGTATAACTTTATGGCTAGTTTGTTTATAAGTATAAAGAATTTACTGATACAGATGTTTCTAAAGATACAATCAAAAAGAATCACAAAAATATTTACGAAGAATAAGACTTTTAGCCTATCTTAATATTTATCATATGTATAAATAAATCACAAATTGACAACAGTTCTGCTAATGGAGATAGATCTCACAATCTCATATATTGAGAACATCGGTGTGCCAGTTGCTATGCACTGGAGATGCAAAGATGAAAAAATGACTGGGGCACCTGGGTGGCTCAGTTGTTAAGCATCTGCCTTCGGCTCAGGATCCCAGGGTCCTGGGATCGAGCCCCGCATCAGGCTCCCTGCTCCGCGGGAAGCCTGCTTCTCCCTCTCCCGCTCCCCCTGCTTGTGTTCCTTCTCTCGCTGTGTCTTTCTCTGCCAAATAAATAAATAAAATCTTAAAAATATATATTAAAAAAAAGAAAAGAAAAGACCTTGCCCTTAAGAAGCTCACAGACAGGGGCGCCTGGGTGGCTCAGTCAGTTAAGTGTCTGCTTTTGGTTTAGGTCATAATCCCAGGATCCTGGGATCAAGCCTCACGTCGGGCTCCCTGCTCAGCAGAGAGTCTGCTTCTCCCTCTCCCTCTCCATCTGTGTGCTCACTCACTCACTCTCTCAAATAAATAAAAAAGAAGCTTCTTTAAAAAAAAAAAAAGCTCACAGACAAATAGGGGAAATAGATAAATAATTAAGATACAGAATGAGGGGTGCCTGGGTGGCTCAGTCGGTTAAGCATCTGACTCTTGATTTTGGCTCAGATCATGATACCAGGGTTGTGAGGTTGAGCCCCACATCAGGCTCTGCACTGAGCAGGGAGCCTGCTTAGAGTTCTCTTTTCTCCCTCTCCCTCAGCTCCTCCCCTGCTTGCATACTCTCTCTCCTAAAAAAAAAAAAAAAAAAAAAAAGAAAGGGCTAAATAGAAGAAGTACAATGGCTGCCTAGAGGAGCAACAGATAAACTTGGATCTAGGGGTGGGGACAGTGGTTTTGGAAAAGGTTCATTGAGGAGATTATTTCTGAGCTGAACTTTGAAGGATAAATAGGAATTCAAGGAATAGACAAGGGGCACCCGGGTGGCTCATTTGGTTAAGCGTCTGACTCTTAATCTCAGCTCACGTCTTGATCTCAGGGTTGTGAGTTCAGGCCCCGTGTTGGGCTCCATGCTGGGCATGGAACCTACTTAAAAAAAAATTTTTCCAAGAAATAGGTAAGAGATAGAATATAAGTTCAAGTGTGAAATAATAGTATGTTTAGCAAACTATGAGTGATATTACTAGAGTTTAAAGTTCAGAATAATAATCTGCAATAGATAAGGTAAGCAAGGGCTGATTATGAAGGATCTTGTGTGCTGTGATAAGGAGTGTGAACTTTATCCTGTGGATAATGTGATCAGATTTGTAGTTTAAAGATCATCCTGGTTGTTTTGGAAAGGATTAGTTGAAACAGGGATTGACAGAAACCAAAGGACTAGTTGTGAGATTGTTGTAATGATCCAGGTTGGAGATAATGAGAACTTAAACTAAAATTTTAAGTTTTTAAGGGGTAAAATAGACAATCCTTGGACATCAGGATGTAAAGGAGGAGAGGTGTTAAAGATGACTCCTGGATTTCAGTCTTAGGCAGATTGTGTAGATGGCATGCTTCTTACTTAAAGTAGAAATACAGAAAGATGGTTTAGGAGAAAGATGATTTTAATTTAGTACAGGTTCAACTTAGAAGGTCTAGGAGACATCCAAATAGTGGTTAGATAGATGAGCTCATTGTTTACATTCATTGAAATGGCAGTAGGAGTCAGGGAGAATTATTGCTTTTCTTTTCTCCTTCTTTTTTACCTCCCTCTCCCCCCTTCTCCCTTTCTCCCTTTTCCTTTTCTTTCCTACCTTCCCTCCTCCCTCCCTCCCTTCCTTCCTTCCCATCCCCAGGGAGTGGAATCTTTTTGTTCTGTTCCTTATCCCTTCTTTCTCACACCATGTGGTATTCCTCTTGACTTCACAGCCTTTCCTCTAGCATTATGGAAAAAATTTAGATCTCAGTAAGACCTGTTACCATTTGTGCAGCATGTTTGGGTAAAACGGGAATGTTTCTCTGTCATTGTGAAAGTTTTTGCTGAAAAATGTTTAAGAATCCTTGGAAGTAGAGTACTGGGAAGCCAATATCAAGTTCTGGTCATAATCTGAGTT